GTTTCTTTTTGCTTGAGTGGGTAGGACGTTGATTGTGTCTGCCGCTGATTATATAACCCCACTATTTTAACGAATTATGCAGAATAGATGAATGCGGACTGCCAAAAGTAACATAAATTACTTTAGTATTGTAGAGTTAGTCTAAGTAGCAAGTGCCCCATGGTGATATGAGGGCTGCTGTTCTTTTGGCAATGCAGTCTTCCAAGTTAAACATCAGTGGAAGCCCTGGGTAGTTGCTGGGTTTTGATCATGTTATGCCCAACCAATTTCAATTCAGATTTTCCTCCTGCCTCACTCTTTTACTTCACTTGCTATTTGGAAATACATTGTTAGTTTCTGCCTCTATCTATTGCATTTGACTGTTTAAAAAATGAAATTAATCTTGTAGTCTAATCCATATGTGTTTGTGTTTGAGAAAAATATTATGCATATGTAAGAATACTGATACTTTGTAGTTGCAAATTGATGCTGTTGTACAAATTAATTTATTTTGTGTGACTTTGCCTAATTTTTTTCTCCTGTGCTTTGAAAACTTAACATCTTTGCAATCAGATACTGTGAACATGTTGAAGAAGAGCAGTAGCTAAATTTATCCCCAGTGTAAAGCTCACTGAAGTCAAAGTTTTCTTGATTTTAGAGAACATGGGATCTTGTAAACTAGGAGGCTGTGTCACCTCAAGTCTCAAAGTTAATTCTTGCATTGCAGGCTGTGTAGTCTGAAGTTCCTGTGTGTTTTCTGCATTTTAATTTTAGTGATATGAAAGTGGTTAGTATGCTAACTGATGCATCTGAAATTTAAGGTTTTACAGTGTTATCTCTTTAAATGATGCAATCTTTAGCTCTTTACTGAAGAAAATAATTTTTTTTTTAATAAATGCTTATTATCTCTGGAATATATGTAAAAAATGGTAGGCCTGCTGTCATTATACTATTTGTAATCGCTGCGTTTGTATGAGGGAAGCATTTGGGCAGCTTAATAATGAGACTGTTGTAAGGCTCAGTGTCTGGTTTTATTTACTTTCAGGGTGGGATTATTTAATTTTGGACTGATCAGTTAACTTGATCATTAGCACTTTGAAGCTCTTCATCTGCTTGCAGGTTTTTAGCATTAGTTCACGTTTATGTGCAATGAGAGCCTTTAGTCTGGAGGTGGATTGTGCTTGCACTTCTTAGGGTTTTCAGAGGTCCACTGTAGAAATTCCTTTATACAGATGCAGATTGTGTGTAGCTTTTTATGTGCCATTGAATTTTTGAACACTTTCCCAGATCTACTTTTGTGTTGCTTCCAGATTTACTAACTGCATATGTAAATTGCCCTTCTTTCTTTATATTTTAGCTAGGTTATCAAACATTTGTTTTTTGTTTTTTTTTTCCCCTTAACAGATTTTCCGTGGTATGAGAAGATAAAAACTGTGTTGCAGGGCAAGTTTAAACTCCAGAAATTTAGATCCTTGCAACTTGAAACAGTAAATGCTGCAATGGCAGGAAAGGATATATTTCTTGTCATGCCTACAGGTGGTGGAAAGAGTCTTTGCTATCAGTTACCAGCTGTCTGTTCTGATGGTACGTAAGGGAGGAAAAGATCATATTATAACCTCTATTCTCTGAACAATTGGATTTATTTTCTCTCTTTTATAGTCACTCGGAGAATGAACATTGTGTTGGTGTCTAATATCACAGTATGGGGAGAAAAGAGCAGAGATGTAAGACATTTACTAGAAATATTTGCTTTGTGTCTCGAGAAAAAGTAGAGAACAACAGCAGCTTTAAAATAGTTGTGCCGTTTAGATGTGATTTAGATTTAAATGAATTATCTAGGTTTTTTTTAATGCATAATATTATTAAACACTGAAAGAACTATTTCAAAGTTTGTTGCTATTTTTTTTCTTTCTTTCTTTCTCTTCTAATTCAATATACAGGATATAAATTATTAAAGTATGGATATCCATTGTTTGTCTGTTCCACTGTAAAATTTTAGCTTCAGATTGTTTGGGAGAACTTTTGCATATTAATTTTTAAAAGTAAGTAACCTGGTTTAATTTTTGAGATTTTTTTTTTTTTTTTTAATAACCCATCCAACTGCATGGAAGTTTACTTATTTACAAAGACCAAATTAGCTGTGGTAAATTAGCACCTTTATGATACAGATGTGAAGCCACCTTTTTTTTTTGTGTGTGTATTAATTTTTATAGTCTGTTGCGGCTCTGTTGTGGTCTAGATTCTAAGAGAAAGTGCAGATGAACAGGGCCGATGCATTAATAA